CGACACCTCCCAAGCCAGATGGTCCAACCAGCTGCTGCCGATGCTACCACTGTCACGACGCCTTGCCGAGGACTCCAGAAGTAGCCCCACATTGAAGCTATATGGTGAGTCACCGCATAGCCTTAGTGACTCACCGAAGCTTCCATTCTTTAACCAGTCCGATGAGAGCCTCGGTGGTGGCTATAAAAACCACCGAATCCTACAAACTGAAAAGAATATAGCAAAAACCCGAGAGACAACAACAAGCAAAACGAGGAATGACAGCCACCAAGAATAGACAGAAACATAGAAGAACGAGGGCAACCACCAGCAGTAATACCACAACCAAATACCACAAAATAAAAATAAAAAACGAGAAAAGCTTATCGAAGAGGACCTCACGGTGACCGAAGGCTCCCCGTTCATCCACGCACCACCAAAATATTCGAAATACCCGAAGGTATTTCTCTAGATTTACTTCGATTGGGAGTATTTTAGGAGAAACTAAAAAAGGATTCGGCCTTAGTGTGTTTAAGGCTTTATTTTGGGGTAGTTTGGGAAATTTCGGCCACCGTAAACGGTGGTCGGCAGTAAGGTTGGCAGCGGTGCAAGGAGGTCGGCTGGTGATCGTCTTCCCTCCGGTGAGGGAAGATTAGAGAAAAGGGAGAGTGTTCTCTCTTTTTAGAGAGAGAACCAAATTGGAAAAATGAGAAAAATGAGAGAAGTTCTCTCTCTTGGGCTGGTTAAAGGGTTTATATACCCTCTCCCGAACGACATCGTTTTGGGGAAGGGGCTTCTGTATAATTTCACACATGGTCCCTTTCCGCCATCCTTATAGTTTTGTAATTTTATATTTTAGTCACTAAATTAAATTTCTAAACATTATAATTTAGTCTTCGAATTTTATTTTATTTTATTTTAGTCATTTTCAGTATAATTATATATCTTTAGGGTAAATAACATATTTAGTCCCTTAGATTTTAATAATTTATATTTTAATCACTGGTTAATTAATAAGGGTTAATTACACTATTAGTAGTTACTTTTTTTATGATTCTAATTATGTCCATTAATTGTTCATATTTTATAATTTGATCATTAATCTTTATATAATTGTCATTTTAATCATAAGTTTTATTATTTTTACATTTTAAGCTTATATATTTATGAATATGATGGTATAATTTTAATTTTTTTTATTTTGATCATTATTATTCTATTTTTATTACCTTTTTCTTTTGATATGTTTCAATTATTACTTTAATTATTATGTTATTATAAACATATATAATAAATAATATTTTTTACATATTTTTTTATATATTAATCCTATTTATAAATTTAATTTTATATAAATTACTTTTAAGAAAAATAATAATATTTTAATATTTATTTATTTTTTAATATTAAGAAATGGGCTGTCTTAAAGCAACTAGAAGTCATTTTCTGATATTCTTAAATAAATATCCTATTTTTATAAATTACATATTAATTTATTTTAATTATTTTTAGAGAAATGTTTTATTAATATTTATATATTTATTTTTTAATATTAAGAAATGAACTGTCTTAAAGCACCTAGAAGTTTTTTTTCTGATATTTCTAAATAAATAAATATCTTATTTATAAAATTATAAAAATTAATATATTTTTTCTTAAAATTATACTAATAAATTTGAAATCACAAAATTATGAATTAAATATATCTTTGAATTCTTAAATTTCTAAATAATAGAGACAATTTATAATTAATGAGTACCAATTTTGGGTGTTGTGGGAGTGTTAATCCTTCCCCAAACGTAATCAACCACGAATCCCTTTTTATTATTAAAAAGAATGAATTTTTGGTTAAAACGCATACCAATTTATCTTTTAACTGATATTTTCTTAAAAACTCTTTTAAAAGATAATTTTTACGTATTCGACCTACATGACCCAAAAGACCGATGACGACTCCTTAAACATTTTAAAAATCATTTATTCACATCACTTTTCCCGCCAAATAAATAAAAATTCGTACCCGAACAAAAACCGGTTATGACAGATTTCTTTAAAGGTAACTTCGAAAATTAATAAACAAATAATATTGAATATTAAATTTATTTTTATAATACGAGATATTTAAATAAAAACATATGCTTTACCATCCAAAGAAATAAGATTAAACTACGCAAATAATCTTTAGGGTAATCTATGTCAAATATCACTCATCTTAAAGTTCGGACTCGAAAATGTCATTGACGTTTCAATTTTGTCAATTTTAGCACGGACGTTTATGTTTCACTGCAATTTTACCACTTCGCCGTTAATCCGTTAACGGGATGATGACATGACATCTTTTTTCCGTGACGACGATGACATGGCTCCCTCATCAAAACGACGTCGTTTTGGCACAACTGTTTTGATGCTCAAAAAGCGCAAAACGACATCGTTTTGTTGATGAAAAATATGTTTTTCATGATATTCAAACCGTAGACCTTTAGAATCCAAATCTAAATACCCAACTATCAAGTTAACTTAAGAACTTGGTATAACCTTAACAAAACTATTATAAATATTCATCACTACTACAGTCACCCTCATTAGCCAGTGTGAGACGTTTGATGCTAAACATCCACTGCCTGTATCTGTTGGTACTATTCTCCCTCAGCATCTGCAACCTTTTCAGATGCATGGATCCGGGTGGTCAATGGAAGATGCTACTTTTCTGACTAATAGCTTTAAAGGTTTGACAACATTGGGTAATGGACATTTAACAACGAGTGAGGTGCAACGTGCAAGATAATTTAGGCTTTTCTCATCCTGCTACTCATTCGCTTGCTATCCAACAGCCTGTCAGTGTTGGTTCTAATGGTACATACTACAGTCTGACAAAAATGTCGGGAATTGTGATGCCATCCAGAACTAATGCTATTATGCCAAGTTTTGGTACTGGTGATGCCTTAGCTGCTAGAACTATCTCAGCTTCATTAGTTGGGATGCAGAAGAATCCAGTTACCCGTCCAGTTAGCCCCGGGGTTTAGCCCTGTTCCTCCAAAGCAACTGAATGAATCTGTTTCTTCCATAGGTTTGGAAAAAATTGATGGACATCAGTCGAGATCCTTATTTAAAGGCTCTGGGCTCGAGAGTTCACTCTATAATTCATCTCATGCTAATCCCCAGTATGCCAATAACAAAACAATGGCGTGACTGGAACAGTAAGCTTTCCTTTCCCAGGAAAGCAGTTTCCAGCAGTGCAGGTTCAAATCGAAAGAAGAAAGGCTGGCAAGACTACAATACCCTTGAGCATCTGAAAATTTAGCATGAACAGAAATTGCATCTGTTGGTACTATTCTCCCTCAGCATGAAAATCCAAGCAATACCACTTATGAATTCTAGGTTGTGATGTTAAAGATAATGATTGAAAAATAGTAGTAGAGCCGTTATGGATGGAGGAAGATATGAGGGTGACGGTGGTAGTGATGAACATTTATAATAGTTTTGTTAAGATTATACCAAGTTTTCAAGTTAGCTTGGTGGTTGGGTATTTAGATTTGGATTCTATATGCCTATGGTTCGAATCTCATGAAAAACATATTTTTCATTAACAAAACGACGTCGTTTTGAGCTTTTTAAGCATCAAAACGGTCGTGCCAAAATGACAACGTTTTGATGAGGGAATCATGTCATCGCCGTCACAAAAAAAGATGTCATGTCATCGTCTCGTTAACGGATTAACGGAGATGTGACAAAATTACAGTGAAACATAAACGTTCGTGCTAAAATTGACAAAATTGAAATGTCGATGGTATTTTCGAGCCTGAGCTTAAAGATGAGTGTTATTTGACATAGATTACCCTAATCTTTAATTAGAAGATACTTTTTATTACCTTTCTTATTATAAAATTTATAAAAGAATAAATTAACCATTTTGAGGTCCAAAATGTAACAATAAATAATTTTACATTTATTAAAATTGACATAATAATAAATTTAACTTTTGACTTTAATATATTATAATTTAATATTAATTTTAAAAATAATAATTTCCAAAATTTCACAAATTTAATCTCTCTTTTACTCCATTTTCAACCTTTTTGATCTCCTTCCAACTTTTCGCCGAATTTACAGTCGAAAAACTTCCTTTTGTCTCACCTTCTCAGCCGAAAAACAAAGAGAAAAACGGAAATTTTCATGAAACAACAATTTTACACAAATTTTAGAAAAATAATTATTTCTTTTCAAATAATTTAGAATAATTATGAGATAATATCTTTGTTTTTCAGATTCTCTTAGTTTAGTCTTTCTCGGCAATAAAAACTCTTAGTTAAAAAGAAACATATTTAATGGGTGCCAGCCTATTATTATGAATAATATTTATACATAAATTATATTTGTTTATAATTTGAATGAGTCTACTACGTTCAATGAGCACTACTAATGATTAGTACCGTTAAGTATTATTAATTTAATTTAATATATAATTATAAATTAATTAAAAATTTAAAGGTAAATTATTTAAAATAAAATATTAGTTACATTATTTTTCATAATCTTTTTTAACAATAAAAAATTATAGTTCACCTTTAAAAAAATTATTTAAAACTGTTAAAAGAAGATTATGAGAAATAATGTAATTAATATTTTATTTTAAATAATTTATTTTTAAATTTTTAACTAATTTATTATCATACGTTGAGTCTTTTGAATTTTAAATTTTTATAAATTAAATTAATGATTCTCAGCGGTGCTCGTCGAATATTGTAAAATTTTCCGTATAACTTTGATATATGTAAAGATGAAGAAAAAAATAAAGTTTATATGAAAGATTAAATTGAAAAAAAATAAAAATGCATAAAAAACATGCAGAGTAAAACCATGGGAAGAACAAAATTTATTAATTATTCACAGACATATATAAACAAAATCATATGGTTTGGCTTCGTCTCCCCAGACGTATATAAATTAAAACTAAAATAAAAACAAAAGTACTCCCACAAAATTAGATTTTAACGCTATAAATACTGATGAATATTCTTTTGCGTATACTTTTATTTCCAGATCAGCACTGCCAGTCCAACCGGACATCCCCGGGACCCACAATATGCTGATTAGGCTTCCTAAAGGATACCATGTGGCTGCTAACCATAAAGGCGGTTACACTCTCGGAGACTCTAATATCCTCTATCTTTAATTCCTGCAACCGCCGCACGTATTCCGGAACGTGGAGGAGGTCCCAATCGACGCCCACGCCGCCGGGCTTTAACACCCTGACCATCTCCCCCAACACCCTCACTCTCTCCGTCGCCGCCTCCACCGTTCGCTGGCCGTATTCTTTTCCCACCGTGTGGACGAACACGGCCGAAAGCACCACGTCGAAATAGTTATTCTGGAACGGGAGACTCCTCACATCACCTTCTTTGCACGTTACGTACTCCCCCACGCCTGTTACAAATTTTCCATCGCCATTTTTAACGGTACATCTAATGTATGAATCCGTATTAAAAAGGGTTTAGGTTAACAAACCTTCAATGTTCGCAGTTTGGAGCATGGACAAAGTAGTCCGTTTAGAACGATCCAACCCAACGACCCGACCCGAACTCCCGGTCTTTTTAAGCTGAGTCGCCACCGATTTGAGAAGAATCCCTCTGCCGCAACCGACATCAAGCGCCAGCTTCACGGTCGACCAATCGTAAACCGACCCCACAATCCGCTGCGCCATCTCGTAATGCAAAGGCCCGGCGGAGTAAAAAAAGTTTACCGCCGCGAGGAACAAGCAGACAGCTGAAATCGAGGTTTGGAAGAAGTGGAAGATAGGGTGGAAGTAGAAAAGAAAGACGAAGGAAAACAGGGAGAAAAAAACAGCGCGACATAAGAGGAAAACAAGGGTTTGCCATTGGTTCATGCCGTAAATGGCATAGATATGAGCCCAATCTCTGCTGCTATTGCTTTTCCCCATTGATCCAATCTCGTCGAGAAGGAGAACTCGAAACAAAGAAGAAAACGAAAGGAAATCCTTGATGGGTTTTTGTTGATCAATCAAATCACATGATGTTTCGAAGGAAAATCTATAGGATGGATGATCCAACAAATGATTAGAAAATGTCAGATTATCTCATGCAAATACAATGAGCAGCAACAAATCTGCGAAAACGTCAGTTTTTGTACCGGAATCCCATGATTGAATGGAATGATATCATTTGCAAATAACAATTTTTTTTATATATTTCACGCGCTTCCGATATCTTTTATATTTTTGGGGTTTGTTTGAATTTTATAGGGAAAGTAGAAAAATTAAAAATAAAAAAAATGAAGCTGAAAATGTACGGGTTTTGTTTGACAGGAGGCAGAGTAGGAAAGCGGGAGTGAATGGTGAGTGGGAGTGGGATCCTCCTGCTATGCATAATTCTTTAAAGTAAAATGAGAACTTAATAAATGAGACTAGATAAAGCTGACATTTTGATCTCTTCTTTACAGCCATTGGAATGGTGCTCCATTTTTTTTTAAATAAAAATCCAACTTGGAATTGTTTTTTCTTTTGACATTTAATTTAAGTGTTAACTACATGTTTAGTCACTTGTTTTTTAATTTTGTATACTTTTGGTCACTGTTTTCAAAATTTATAAGATATGATCACTTACGTTTTTATTTATACAAAATTTGGTCACCCAAAACTAACATTTGTTAACAGCAATTAAATATTTTGATATATCCATATATTTGGTCCCTGATATTTAATTATTCTCTTAATTTAGTCATACTTTTAATAAATTAAAATAAATTTGATATTTTAAATGAAAATAAAATAAAATATTTTTAAATTAAGTTAATATTAAAATATATTTAATAAGTTAATATAAATATATTTTAAGTTAATATCCCAATTATCCTATTGAAGAACAAAACCATTTGCTCCCCGAAGATTGAGAACCACCTACTCTTTCAACTCCATAATTAAAAAAACTTGGAGTTTCTCTCATTTAACCATTGCGGACCAAACCGTTAACGCCGATGGGCACCAACGCAGTAAGTGATTAGTGTCTTCCACAGGAGCAAAACATACTGGACAATTACTACAACTAGTAAAATATCGTCGCATCCGTTCGCCATTTGTCATAACTCTATCGTAACAAACCAACCAAAGAAATGCTTTAATGCGTTTAAGCCCTCGGAATTTGTTAATTTCCGCCCAAACCACCTCTCCAGTCACGTTACTTTGTGGAGTCCTGCTTTCATAAGTCGATTTCACTGGAAATTTACTATCCTCTCGCAATCTCCATCTCACCCTTTCCACACCAAAACTCGGTTTAGGTACTTTCTGTGCAGTAATCTTTAGAAGAACATGAGTTGGTAAATAAGGTTCCATCAAATCCCATCTTCAATTCCCCTCATCGTCGGCCATATCAACAACTGTCACTCGCGTCATGCCTATTGCTCCAGCCGTCATCATATGGTTAATCAAAGGACCACAATCAGACAGCTAACTATCAAACCAAAAATCAACTCTTCTCTTATTTCATATACACCAGCCGATTTACTGCTTGACATCCTCCCAAATGCATGATAGTCCTTTCTATAACTTGGAACAGCTTGTCCTACGAAGAGAATCTGGTACTTCATCGTTACACTTATACTTGGCCCGGAGAAAATGAACCCAGAGCTAATTCTTCTTAGCTAGAATATTGAAGGCAATTTTCATAAAAAATCATTTTGGTGTTATAATTTCTGAAATCCTAATCCCCCTTTAGATTGAGGCCGACACACACGCTCCATTTAACCACATGGATTCCTCAACCGCCTTCAGTAATACCCCAGATAAATCTTCGAATAAGCCCTTCAATTTTATCACAAACCCGTTTTGGGACCGATTTCACAAGCGTAATTCTTTCGGTAAAAGAAAGAGTATTCATCTTCCACCCACTCAATTGATCCTGAACCATTCGAACCAAATAATGATACGTAGCCGTCGTTACACGACCATAGAGAAGAGAAACCCCCAAGTACTTCCCTATGTCTTTTACCTCACTAAATCTGAGATTCCTATTAAGCTGTTTTCTAAGCGGCATACTAACATTCTTGAAGAATATAATTGTCGACTTATCCCCACTAACCTTTTGACCAGACGCACCACAAAAAGCAGCCAGAACTTCCTGAATAACTTCACTCTGAGTAGCCCAGGCATCAACCAAAAGCAGTAAATCATCCGAAAAAAACAAATGTGATAGACCCGATGCTGATCGAGAGGTTCTAAACGGTGTCCATCTCTTATCATCAACACTACTTTGGATTGCCTGAGCCAAACGTTCCATACACAGTACAAACAAATACAGAGATAATGGATTGCCTTGTCAAAGACCACGCGAAAGCTAGAACGGTTTAGTTTGTTCCCCATTCCAAAGAATAGTAGTTTGCACAGTCGTCACACATCTCGTAATCAATCGAATAAGTGCCGCCGGAAGTTCCAAATCAACTATAGTATCCTCAATGAACCCCCATTCCAGTTGGTCGTAAGCCTTTTCAAGATTAATCTTAATCGCCATCCAACCCGTTCTTTTTTTAGTCCTCCTAAAGTGAAAAACCTCCTGGGCGAGAATGATATTATCAACAATTGATCGTCCCGGCACAAAACTAGTTTGGTTTTCTACCACCCATGGTGGAAGAAGTGGCTTCAACCGGTTTACAATGAGTTTTGCAACCGCCTTACCTCCTGGGCGAGAATGATATTATCAACAATTGATCGTCCCGGCACAAAACTAGTTTGGTTTTCTACCACCCATGGTGGAAGAAGTGGCTTCAACCGGTTTACAATGAGTTTTGCAACCGCCTTATAAATTACGTTGCATAGGCTGATCGGTCTAAACTGACCAATTGATTCTGGTAGTGAAATTTTCAGAATTAAGACTACAAGTGTATGATTCAACGACTTAGTCCACAAGTCTTATTCAAAAATTCTCTAAAAAAAATCACAAACTGTGGAACCAACTACAACCCAATTCTTTTGATAGAAAGCTATATGTAAACCATCTATACCTGGAGATTTAAAAGGAGCCATCCCAAAGAACATTTCCTTTACTTCATCGTCTGTCACCCTGCTTGTCAGAGCATCCAACTTCTTCTTTGATACCTATGGGAAAAAGCCCCTCGCATACATAATGGCCGGAGCTGCTTCACTACGGAATAAGCTACTTTAAAAGCTCACATCAAGGTTTCGAAGAATCTCTTCCTCCGAGCACCAAGTATCATCATCCTCACGAAGGCCAGTTATTTTGTTCTGACGACGTTTGGCCATCACCGAAGCATGAAAAAAATTTAGTATTGCGATCTCCATCGATGATCCACTTCAAACACGTTTTTTGACTCCAAAAACTCTCCTCCTGTTTTAGCACCTCCTCCAATTCAGCTTGCAACGTCACTTCCAAATCACATAAGTATGCCGAATGATGATTAGCTAGATACCTCTGAATCCCTTTAATCATGGCTAATAATTGTTTTTTCCTTTTTCCAATGTGCCCGAAGACTTCCTCATTCCAAACCTTCACTTTTGAAAAGAATTCTTGTACATTCACCTCCAAAGAAACGTCATAATACCATACTGATTGAATAAAGTCTTGAAACTATGGGTGGCTCTGTTTTGAAAATCGGATCGGATCGGTCGGTTCAATCGGTTCAACCGGAAATCGTTATTTAGTCCGGTTCAATCTAAACCGATTGAACCGCTACTAGTGAATCGGCTAGAATCGTTGAACCGTTCGAACCGGACCGGTTGAAAACCGGAAAAAAACGGACCAGAACCAAACGTCGTTTGTTAAACGAGCCAAGTCGAACTCGAGTATTGCTGAGCTCGACTCGAACTTGAAACTTTAAAAGTAAGCTCAACTCCACTCAAACTCACAAGTTAAAAATTATCAAGTTTAACTCGAACTCGAAATATAATATTGAAACTTGAACTCAAAAAGGCTTGAACTAAAAAAAATTTAGAAGCTCAATTGAAGCCTAAAATTCGAGCTTGATTGAAGTGAAAGAATAATTCACTCAATGCTCACCAAAAGGCTCCATTATTTTAAATGTCAAATTACCTCTATTATTTATAGAAGTTAGTTGTGATGCTCTTCTATGTTTCTTAGCAATGTGAGATTGTTTTGTTCTCATATTTTTACTCTTTAGACTTTTGGGATGCTCTTCTATGTTTCTTAGCCATGTGAGATTGTTTTTAAAAAAAATTTAAATCAAACAATATCATTTTGTTATGATTTTTTTAGCCCCAAATTTATTTTTTAAATATAGTTATATAATTATATTTATTATTTAATATGTTTTACCTTAATATTGTTGTAGTTAATTTGAATCATTTTTGTTTCACTTGATTTATGATTTTTAATTTATATATGTTATGACTTGCTTTGAATATGACTTGTGATATAAAAAATTATTTTTTATTAAATATTTTTGGTATTTTTATTTAATTTTTAAATAATTATAACGTCGTCCGGTTCTTTCGACCGGTCGGACCGGTTCGACCGGTTGAACCAGTGAACCGATAGCATGGCCGGTTCGTTAACCAGTCCGGTTCTGAAAACTATGATGGGTGGTCATTCCAAGCTGCAATATACCGAAATGGCCGGTTGGAATGGAGACAGTGACCCACTTCACTACGGAAAAGTATCGATTTGTGATATGAACCTAGTCGATCGAGATGCAAAACATGAGAATTTGAAAAAGAACAAAAAAAACACCCATTTACCATTAGCAAGACACCAATCCAGCCGTTGTTGCAGGTTACCTCTGACTAAGTAAATGGCTGTCCTTGGAATCCCAAGTCCATTAATCTTGCATCACATATAAACTCTCTAAGTATGTTACGTCCCCTATGGATTCTTAGAGATCCTCTTTTCCTCTCATCTGGATGGGCAGTAGAGTTAAAATCGCCACCTATCAACCAAGGCTCCTCCTCACCGGGGTCTAGGGAGAGCAAGA